GAACTGTAAAAAGAGTAGTTTTGAAAGGTAGTTTGCGGACTTCAGAGCAGCCGCGTCAACGCAACTATTACCTGCGTGACGCGACTGTTTCATGTCCAAAAGACTTAACTTGGACTAGACCACCGCGTGACGCAGCTGTTTGCGGTACTCCAGTTTTTCTTTTTCCTATAGTCTTTTATTTCTTAAAAATCTTATTTTCATAGTATTTAGTTGGTCTGTTATTGGTTAGACGTAATTTTGCCCATTGTTGGACTCTTCTGAGTTGATTTTAATCATTTTTGACAAAAAGAACACGTAAAAAGAGTAATTTGAAAGGTAGTTGCAGACCAGAGCAGTCGCATCACGAAGCTACTACCTGCGTGACGCGACTGTTCGTGTCCAAAAGCCCTTAACCCGGACTAGACCACCCGCGTGATGCAACTGTTCGTGTATTCAGTCTTTATTTTGTTTTTATACTTGTATTTAACGTTATGCTTTGAATAAATAATCAATACACCTGAGGATTCTAATAAAGTCACGAATGGTTCCGTCACGTAGCTAGGAGTTCCGTCACGCGATTGTTCTTCATAGAATAGCTGCGTGACGCAACTATCCAAAGTTCCAGAACAATAACTAGAGTTCCGTCACGCGACTGTTCTTCATAGAACAGCTGCGTGAAAACAGCTGCATGACCGCAACTGTTCTAAGTTCTAGAATAAATGGTAAGAAGCTCCGTCACGCGACTATCTTCCATAGAACAGCTACGTGACGCGACTTGCCTTGAAATTCCAGAATATTTTGTTTATCTTACTTTAATTTCATGTCATTAAATTAGATTTTTAATCTTTAATCCGGAAATGATCAAATAAATGGGCACAATTGTTTTTTAATCATAAACAAATCATTATTTATTGTGATTATGAGACTTTAGGATTTATTATTATTTATTATTTATTGTTTATTATTGATTATATTATTAAACCCGGTTTGTGGCCCGCCTTTAACCATAAGGCAAGAGCGAGTCTTTTAATTTTATTTGCTATATATTGTGGATCAATGGTGGATGTGATGATTAATTTATGATGAATGCAATGAATGAACCTAGTTGGGACGATTAATTAATTTTCGATTTATTCGGATTGGGTTTAATTAAATGATTTGGCTTTTCCAAAATAAAATCAATTAGAAATTGTAGGTTAAAAGAGGCAGGTTTTTCGGGCGTCGGCTTCCAACGGGCCGACGTACCCAATTCCTTTACCTAGAATCGTACTTGGTACGCCTGACCAGTCTGTTTAAAATAATCAGCCTTAAATAAAATTGGGTTTAAAATGGAGTCATTTAATAAAATTAAAATTGGAAACGGTCCCATGGCCGAAATAATGGGTGGCGACTAAAACAATTTATAAAGACCGATTTATCGGCATCGCGTTCCCAAAAGATTTTAACACCATTTTTTAATAAAAACAAACGAAACAAATAAAAAGTAGTTTTCCGAGATCCTTTTCCGGGGTTTTCGAGGGTTCTCAATTGGGGCGTAAGGCTTTTAGCCACAATTATTGATTAATTAGACTTATTATTGATTGAATTAGACTTTTAGCCGGAACTTTCAAAATAAGGCAATTACACCGTAAGTTATTAAATTAACTAGGCAACTTTTAACCAATATGTTTCGGAGTTTAGCATTAATACCGACGATTATTGATTAACCGGGCATTTTAGCCTAAACTTATTTACTTAAAGGATAAATTTTGCTGCCAAAATGATTATGGTGTGAATGCAGTTGTTTAATTAGAATTAGGAGTAGAAGAGAATATGTACAAAATGCTGAAATTAAATAGGCAGTGTTTCGTTATTACTTGAGTTAATCGGCTGCCGCTTCTTAGCTTTAGCTTGAAAATTCCAGATTAAGCTCCTCGTTTGGGGAATATTAATTAAAATTAATTTAATTAAATTACTAAATATCACAACAGCAGAGTAATAAAAGCCTACACTAAATGTAGAAAAGCAGTAGAAGAACCGCAAGGAGCGTAGGAGAGAAGAGAGTGTCCGTCAACACACCGTCAACGACAGACTCGAGTGCCCTAAAACTGTCGATTCGGGGCTGTATTTATAGGAAAAACCCAGGCTGGAACCTGACGAGCGCTGCCAGCCGTGGGCGGCGGCTGCTGCCACCTATCCTGTCCACTCGCTAGTTTTTTCGTTCCAAGAAGGCTTTTTTCGGGAGTTTCCGTACTCCAAAAAATATTCCGGGACAGTTTCCGCGATCCTCTGGTAATTTTTCGGACGTTTCAAGCGTAATTTTTCGGACGTTTCAAGTACCATATTAGCATACTTTCGGTGAACTTTCTGAATGGCCTCCGGTCCGACCGGACTATTTGTAGTCCAGAAAAACAGGCTTTTTGAGCCTCAAAATTTGAGTATTCACAGTCACAAATCTGTCACGAACGCATGGTATAGATTTCGCATTAAACTAAGCGCCACGCGTTAATCCCGCCAATTTTATTTTTATTATTATTTTTTATCATTATTTTATTTTTATTATGCTCTAACTTTTGCCTAGGCCGCCCTTTTGGGTGTTCGACCTAGCGAGCTCATTTCTTGCCTAAGCCGCCCTTTCGGGTTTTCGACCTAGGCTCTTCTTTTTTTTTTTTTAATCGAAATCATCATCAATCATTTCAGACATAGAACTTTTCAATTTTTGGTCCCTGTTGACAATCTGATTGACAGGCTTTCCCTTCCAATGGTGATTAAATTCAGGCGGCACCTTTAGCTAATAGGCTTTTGAATTTTGAATGGTCGCATGCCAGTTGGGGTTGAATTTTCCTCCAGGATGATTCTGGGCTTCATGGTCAATACATCTGATCAATACTAGATCTTCATTCTTAAAGCCCTTGGATGTACCCGTTTGTTGTAGAAAAGCGAGCAATCCTTCTGCTTTTCAATCTGAATGCCTGGAATCAAAAAGCCGTTCAATTTTTCTTCATCTATAAAGCCGCCAGATCTTCATACCTTATTCTTGCCATTCTTCCTCGGTCAAGACCAGCTTCTACTAAGGACCCTAAGAGACTTTCTTTTGGCTCTTATGGTAAACACTGCCCTCCATCCCAATAACAAGGTTCAAAGGGAGAAGCTCCATTAAACTGATTTGAAGGTAGTGCGATGCCGCCCTAAAGCGCGAAAGGAAGTTTTCTCAGCCCAGCTTCTATACTTCTCGCTGTGAAATACTAAAATTTTGAGGCTCAAAAAAGCCTGTTTTCCCTGACTGTAAACAGTCCGGCCGACCGGAGGCCATTTTGGAAATTTACCAGAAGTATGCCAATATGGCACCTTAAAACGTCCGGGTTAAAACGTCCGGGACGTCGCGAGGGACCTGGAGGTACTCCCGGAATAATTTTTAGAGGTACGAAACTCCCGAAAAAGCCTTCGGAACGAAAAACTAGCGAGCGGACAGGGTTTCGGTGGTTCTGACAGCCGTCAATGGCGGTTCTGACCGCCCTCTCCGGCGGTTGTGACCGCCCTCCACCGGCGGTTCTGACCGCCCTCTACCGGCGATTGTGACCGCCCTCCAGGGTGGTCAAAACCGCCCTCCGGCCTGTTTTTTTCCTATAAATACAGCCCTGATTCGTCATTTTTACACACTCAGTCTGTGTTAACGGACGCTCTTTTCTCCCCTACGCTCCTTGCGGTTCTATTTACTATTTTTTTGCATTTTCATTTAGCTTTTATTGCTTTCTTGCTTTGTTAATTGGTCACTTAAATTAAATTAACTGTAATTAAATACCTTAACGAGGAGCTTAACCTGGAGCTAAGAAGTGGTCGACGACTGACTCAGGTAAATAAACGAAACTCTGCCCATTTTAATAATTTGCATAATTTCTCTTCTACTCCAATTCTGAATTAAACTGCTGTATAAATGGAAATTAAACTGCTGTTATAAATGCATTCACGTCATCAATTGGCAGGTAAACTGGCCTCAATTAAATAGATTAAGCTTAAATGCCCAGGTTAATTTAAATAATCGTGGTGTTTAAGCCTTTAAATCCGACAAATTTTGGCTAAAAGTATCTAAAGTCAATTAATGAACTATGGTATATCGCCTTTATTTCGAACAATCCGGCTTTAAGTCCAATTAATCAATAATTGTGGCTTAAATAGCCTTAAATTGACCACATTTTTTTTGGCAATAAATTTGTCTATATTGCAATTCAATTGATCACTATTTTGGCAAACAAATTTGCCTATTAAATAAGAATTAACCATTTTTAGCGAACAAATTTGGCTTAAACCAAAAGCTTGGCAAAAATGCCTTGAATTTAATCAATCTTTTTGGCTAAACTAAAAGCCTTAAATCAATCAATTTTGGCCACAATCGCCCAATCAACACTTTTGTCAAACAAATTGCCTAAATCAACCCATTTTGGCTAAAAGCCTTCAAATAATCACTTTTGGCAAACCAGTTGCCTAAATCTCATCAACTTTTGGCAAACAAATTGCCTAAATCAATCTTTTTGGCTAAAAGCCTTAAATTAACACTTTTGGCAATAAACGCCTAATCAAATCAATCAATTCTTGGCAAAATGCCTGAACAAAATGCACGAAGCATACACACACTCATGCATTAAGCATACCCATTCAAAGCCCTTTAAAAAAGGCCTATCGAACTAAGGCCTATCGAACTACGTCGACTTTGATCTTCCATTTAAACGGAAGTACGTTGGCACGTTTGGGGTTTAATCCCAAGCGGCAAGTCGAAATCACTTAAACATTTCATCGGTCCAATTACATCATTTACCCTGCAAAGCATTCATTTCATTGGTTAGTTCATCAACCTGACATGGTCTCAGGATCCACCTCAGGTTCGCAAACTATGCCTTAAGCATTGGGATAATTAATCTAGTAATTAGGTTAATTAAAATTGGAGTCAACTTAGGGTTTTTTTCCTATTACCCTAAAATAATTAAACAAGGTGGCGACTCACACATTCACGTGAATTTCTGCCCTTAGTCATATTCATTATATACCTATTTTTGGGGAAGGGGTTCACACTCGCACATCTTGGACAGGATTCTTTTAATCTCCTTATTCGCGGCTTCTACTGCACCATTAGCTTGAGGGCGATAAGGAGAAGAATGATGATGCTCAACCGAATGATGCTCAACCTTATAATCTATATAGCAACTGACCAACATCTGCTTGAAAATGGAGAACCATTGTCTGTAACTATGTGATTGGGGGAACACCATATGCGACAGAAAATGTTTCTCCTGTTCAATGAATCTAGCCACATGTTTGGCGGTCAAAGTTTTGTAAGGATTGAGCCTCGATCCACGCTAGAAAAGTAGTCTACTACAACCAAGATATATTGATAGACCATTCGAATGCCTGCTGTTTGATTCTTTTGCCGATGATGTCTATACCCCATGCCTGAAAAAACCAAGAAGGAGCTGTCCTCGGATGGAGTTCAACAGCAGGCAAATGGTTTTTATTATCATGGTATTGACAAGCTTTACAATGACGTACATAATTAACACAGTCACCTTCCATCTACATAATTAACGCAGACTCCCTCATGGATTTTCTTCATTATTTCTTCTCCCTCCTTCTTACTTACGCATCTTAGCAACATCCCGTCCCAAGCCCTCCTATAGAGTTCACCATCAGGCAGGACATAATTCAAAGCCATTTTCCTTAACACTGAATGGTCTTCCTTTGTCGCATCATCAAAAAAGGTTCCGTCTCTCATGTACCTCAGAATATCCGTAAACCAAGGTTCTTCCTCTGATTCAACCTGGTTTCCTCTGATTCAACCTGGTTCACAAAAATGTTCCTTTACATAACACGAGATATTTGCTAGCGGTGTAATGATGAACGGCTTCTTCGGGACCTTACTCAAATCCTGCCAAGCTGATGCTAAGTTTGCCAAGGCATCCGGAATTCTGTTATGGATTCTTCCTATATGAGTAAAGGTGATCTTATCAAAGAGTGCTGCCTTCTTCAACAAGTACTCAAAATAGGGCTTCAACCTTTCTTCTTCCACTTTCCATCTCTCGTTAGCATGTTCGATAACCAACAGTGAATCTCCTATAACCTCGAATTCCTTAGCACCTGATGCAAGAAGAGTCTCCATTCCCATGATACACGCTTCATATTCGGCCATATTGTTGGTGACCGGAAGTAATAATCTTTTGCACATTGTTGTGACCTCACCATTAGGTGCCTCTATCACGATACCGGCTCCGGCTCCGTTTCTATTGGCTGATCCATCAAAGTACGTTTCTATTGGCTGATCCATCAAAGTACAATTTCCAAGCCCCGTTTCAACACACAATAAATGTTCATTTGGAAATTCCAATTCCCATGATTCATCACCTGCAATCGGATTCTCTGCCAGGAATTCTGCCACAACCCGTCCTTTGACCGTCTTCTTCGTGACAAACTCTGCATCCACACTAGACATCTAAATTAGCCATTTGGATAGCCGTCCTTCTAGAGTAGGTGTCCTTTGAAGATACTTTATAGGATCAATTTTAGAAACGAAAGTGACCCTGAAGGAATCAAAGTAAGGCCTCAATTTCTTTATCGACCACACCGCTGCCATACACGTTTTCTCTACCAAATTATACTTGTCCTCGATAGGCAATAATTTCTTGCTGATGTAATAGATGGCCTTTTCTACTCCAGCAGCGTCCGACTGTGCCAACATAGCTCCAACTCCTGCATCCTCTCCAACATAGCTCCAACTCCTGCATCCTCTATAGACAAGTACAGGATTAGAGGCTTTCCCGGTCTAGGCGAACTCAGCACTGGTGCATTCATCAAATACTTCTTTATGTGATCAAAGGCTTTTTGGAAGTCCTCGTTCCATTTAACTGGTTGATTCTTCTTAAGTAACTTGAAAATCGGAGCACAAGTGATGGATAGCCTAGAAATAAACCTGCTGATATACTGAATTTTTCCCAAGAAGCTTCTCACCTGACGTTCTGTTCTTCTCACCTGACGTTCTGTTCTTGGCGGCTCCATATCCTGAATGGCTTTTATTTTGTCTGGGTCCACCTCAATCCCGTTAGGTCCTACCACAAAACCTAACAATTTCCCTTTCGTTACCCCGAATACACATTTTTTGCGATTGAGTCTTAAGTTGTACTGCTTGACCCGTGCGAAGAATTTTTCCAACATCTCCGTGTGTTCTTCCTGTGTTCTCGTCATGATCACCATATCATCCACATATACCTCCAATCCTTTCCTCCAAACCTTTATGGATCATATCATGGAACAAAGTTATAGCCATTCTCTGATATGTTGCCCCAGCATTCTTCAACCTGAACGGCATCACCCTATAACAGAAGGTCCCGAAAATCAGTAGTGAAGGCAGTTTTATGCTTGTCAACTAGAGCCATCAGGATTTGGTTGTACCCGGAGAATCCGTCCATAATGGAATAACATCCCATTCCAGCAGCACTGTCGATCAAAACATCTATATATGGAAGTGGGATGGAAGTGGAAAGTCATCTTTGGGCGAGGCTTTGTTTAGGTCCCTATAGTCAACATAAACTCTTATCCTCCCATCTTTCTTCAGCACAGGGACTATGTTGGCTAGCCACTCAGGATAATGCACTACTTCTAAGAATCTTGCATCTAACTGTTTCTGGACCTCAGCCTTAATCTTGTCTTGCCATTCTGGTCTGACTCGTCTCCTCTTTTGCTTTACCAGCTTAATACTCGGGTCGGTAGGAATGAAGTGTTCTGCGATTGACCTGTAGATTCCTAGCATGTCTGCATAGCTCCAGGCAAATGCCTCTGAATTTCTCTTGATATATTCTTGGAGATCCTGTCTAAGTTCAGGCTTAAAGTTCGATCCGATTTCGATTATTTTGGGATCTTTGGTGGTGATTAAGTTAAATGCAAAATCATGCAATGCATTTATGTCAAATATCGCGTGGTATAATCAATGCCATGAACGTGACAATTAGGAAAACAAGAAAACAGATAGTCAAAATTCACTTCCATTGATTGAAATAATAAAGGGTAACCATCCAAATCGTTCTCAAAACAATAATCAGAAAAATAAAAGACAAGATTAATAGTCTGTTCAATACATTCATCACAACTGTCTTTAATAGCTTGAATCACTTCATCAGCATCTGAAGCTTCCTTTGCTTCTGGGGCAGCTTTTTCTTTTGCCTCTTCATGCTCTGTCATCTTCATCACCTTCCTCTGCTCTTCATGCTCGTGTCCCATCTTCATCCTCCTCTCGTGCTTCTTCAAATCTCAGCTGCTATATTGGACCGGAGGATCCTTGCCTTAGCCTTCTGCTCCTGCACTATTCTGGAAGCTTCAATACCCCAATCCCAGGAAATCTTCCCAATCCCCAGGAAATCTTCAAATTCAGGTATCTTCTGTGACCATTCAGTGCCACTGCCTGTTTGAACCATACCAACCATGAACTGTGTGTCTTCTACCAACTGTTCAAAGGAGGGCTTAGGAGAGTTGATCAACTGCTCATCAAAGTCTGTCATGAAGATCTCAAGGCCAGGATAGGTCTTTCGTCTGCTCTAAAATTCCCCTGAAGTCTCTGGGACAAAGAAAATCTTATTCAGCCCTGGTTATCTTATCGGAGACTGGACTTCATATTTCTCCTTCTTTCTACTCTCTAAATACCCCAGCCCACGTCGATCATGCTGTCCATGTGATAATGACAGAGGCTCAAACCTTCCTTATAAATCTCGGCCTAGTCCTTTACCATATTTCCACTGCATCTTCTTCATCATTTTACGAGAAAAAGGGCTCATTCTGTTAACTGCACTTTTGTTTTTTTGTTTTTCAAGTAATTGCAGCAATCAAATCACAGCACCTGAAAAACCCAGATAAGGCCATAGATGCTTCTACTTTCTACAGCCGCCACACTTCAAATCTTCTTGTGCATTGATGGTTACCACCTCAGTACCCTAAGGAACCTTAACTTTTCTGTGCAATGTGGAAGGAATTGCACCCAGAGGATGAAGCCATGGTCTTCTTAACAGTAATGCATAATTGGCCAAAATATCCAGGACGACTACATTCACCCAACTCTCTATAGTCCCCGTCGAAATCTTTGCCCTGAAAGTGCCCCTAGCATTACGCATGGTGTTGTTGTATGCTTGTCATATGCTTTAACTACCATGTTAGACGGCTCAAGCTCCGACTCCTCAATCTTAAATTTAGACAGCATTTTCAGTGGGCACACGCACAATGCCGACTCGTTGTCCACCATCACATTATGGGTTTCTCACCCGTTAACAGTCACCTGGATGTATAGAGGCTTGTAGTGGTTCCTTCCTTCCAGAGGAAGATCGGAATCAAAGAAGGTAATCTCACCAATCTTGCGCTGTAACACATTGATCATATCGACGCTCTAGATTCTGGCAGGCACCCTAACAAATGTCATAGCCTCTAACAAAGATTCTCTGTGCTCCTTTGAGGCTATCAGTAGATCCCACAGTGACCTATAGTGAGATGTCAGCCCTAGTCCTCTGTAGCTGAGTCAATACTGAACTTGCTGTTACGCCACTTTGTATTTTGTTTTGACTACTTTTGCCCACTTCAATAGTATTCCTTTGCCCCTTTTCCCTTTCATCTTCCTTCTTCTTTTCCTTAGGCTGTTCTTCACCCTTATCTGTTGCTTTCTTTCCCATCCCATCGATGCCAACTCCCTTTCCTTTAGACTGAGCATTGTTATCTAGATTATACAGACGGCCGCTTCGAGTTAAGCTATGTATGCCAACTTCATTTACATCCTCATCACTGCTATAGTACCATTGATCCTCCTGGTCAGCCAAACTTTTCTGAATCGTAAGCTGAATCTGCTCGTCTTCGCTTTCCGGTTTCCGGTACTCGCCAACTTTAACTGTTGATGCCTTTCTTCAATTTCAATCTTCACAGGCCTCTTCCTTCTTCTTCCTCCTCACTACTACAATCATCCCAGATTGTTCAGACATAGCACACATTCTTTCCTCCCACTCGACTTCTGCTATACCAGTTCTTCGGATGAACCACTCCCAATTGCATTTAACCCGAAACCCGGCCTGCTAGACTTGTTGAGACTTGTGGGGTGGATAGTTATACTGGTATTGTGGCAATGGATTATTCTTTGTGCTCGGCTTATTCCTTTCAGAGGGTTTGGTAATCTTTCCCCTGTCTATCAGATCCTGTATATCGTGCCTTAACTTGAAGCAATCATCAATAGAATGCCCCTTACAGTGGTGATACTCGCAGTCCCGATCCATAAACCTACCCCGAACAGGTTTAGCTGGATTAACAGGCAATTTGGACAGCATGCCGTTCTTAATGCAGGATCTCATGACCGTGCTCAAAGGTCTACCCAAGTCAGTGAACTCCCTCCTTACTTTCTCGTTAATAGCTCCAACCGTGTTACTAACTGGTCGGGGTACTACTTCCGGGCATTTAATCCAGTTGTAGGAGGGACCGGCTTAGTTACCAAACCCTCGACTCTTCTTCTTCTCATCCTTTGTTATAGCTCCTTCGATATTTCAACCCAGCCCTTTGAACTAGGAGCAAAATCAGTGAGGAGGTTGGGCCAGCATTCTCTTCTTGAAGAAAGTTAAAACAGGCTTTCTACTGAAAATCTGATCAGTTCTTGCGTCCTTTGGCCTTGTTCTGGCCAATGCGAACAGTTTTTGTCTCCACCTCCTTGTAATAATCTAGAAAAACTTTCATCTTTTCCTGCCTTGAAAGCTTTTCTAAGTCACGCAGCCGAACTCATCACTTGTCATCTGTTTTTGAAGTGCTTCAGAAAAGTGGTCTGTAAGCTTACCCAAAATCTCTCTGTGTCATTGTATCCAAGCCATCATACCATCTTCCTGTAAACTCTTATGCAGTTGTTTGAGAAATGCTCCGCTAAGACATTCCTTTCCTTCGTTATATCGGGTTCATTTGGGAAGACCCGGAGAAACTCAGGGACACATGGGATTGCGGGTCATTGTCTCCTTCGAATATGGTTTATTGCTTGGAAAGTCTTGAATGGAAGTGTCGATACTTGAAGGATGCCCCAAAGACATATTCAGCCACGTGGAAATTAGTGACTGGGTCTTTTCCTTGCAAAACAAACATTTTTTCTCCACTTTATCCCTTTTAGTTCTACCAAACTGTTTAGCTAGATCATTCTCAAACTGGGACAGCCATTACCAGCGGGAGGCTCTTGAATTATTCCGATGTGGGTTCTGGAATTTCCCTTTTCCTCAACCGTAGGCTGAATTTGCTCCGAAGTAGGAGGAAACCTAGTTTTGTGACCTTCTTCTTTGGGCCCAAGGCCAGCAGCTTAATTATCTCAGTGATGCGTCCTTATCTGGGCTGGAGAGAACCCGGTCTCATTTTCAATTGTTGTCAGCCATTTCTACCAAACTTGAATCAGAAACTGAATCGATGAACTTTGAACGAATCACAGGACTAATTGGGGAGTTA